GCACCCTGCACTCTGCTGTAGGCACAGAAATCTTGGGGGGGCACATGACCTCCCAAGCGTCAACTACCCCCTCCCCTCTCCTCCCCATCCCATCTCTCCATGTATTGCCTATGGCCCCTCCCCTGCCTTTATAGACTTACCCACAGGGAGTTGTGGGAACTGCTCTCCACCATAGCCTGGCTGCTACATGCATGTGTGCATGCACATGCGTGTGGCACCCCCTGTGTCCCACTTTCTCCCAGACCCAAGCAGCCCCTTGCAGGCTCGAAATCTTCCAGTCTGGAAGGGGATACTGAGAGTTTCCCAGGTTTTTCTCCTTTAAAGAAGACAATCCATGTTTTGCCACGTTTTTCCGCAGCAAATGGAAAACCTGGATCCGTGGTGATGAGCTACTCTTTTTATAAGTGACCTGCCTTCCCCCCTCTCCCAGTTGATTGAGCTTACAGGGACTGGATGCCATACTGCCATGCTTACCACTCCTCTTGTGCTTCCATTCATTCTTGGATAATACTTTGACCTTTCCAAATAAGAAGGAAAGAAAGAAAAACTGGGAACTGGATTCAACTGAACTGAGAAAAGTACTATAATGTCCCATATATGTTATTCATGGAACTTCACACAATTGCTTCACTGTTTGGAAGAAAGCCTCATGTTTCTTGACTCAAATAGCATCCACACTAAAGAAAGGAAAGAAAAAGAAAGGGAAAAAATCACTGTAGGAAACATTCCTTGGTAAATTATCAAAAAATAATTTGGTCTTGGCTTCTTCTCAAGACAAACATTGTGTAGGCCCATAATGCAAGCTCTTGGAACTCACCCTTATTCCCATGGTAAAGCCCTCTCTGACCCAGATTCCAGAGAGAACCAGAATGGTTACCTAGTTATGACTTGAGACTTTTCTTGTAGAGGTTTTCCTTAGTAGTAGTAACCCAATTCTGGAATGAAAAGTAACCCATATCTTACTGCAGTACTGAATTGAGTTCCTCTGCCACTTCTCTAGTTGCTGTGATAGCAAAGGTAACCCTAAGTGGTAACCATTTTCAGTGTGGAGATGGTTTGGATGCATAGCAGTTATGAAATAGTATTGTGTTTAATGCACAACATCTTTTAATCTTTGATACTAATGCTTGAAGCATATGTTTCCCCTCTCATTAAACAGCACAAGTTCAAGTGGTTTATATCTTATTTTTTCAAACTAAAGAATAGCATTACTCACATACCACAAGGCTAAGTAATGTCTGGGATTTATTAAGTCATTCAGTGAAGCTGACCACAGATTATTCCATATAGAACAAAATGCTAAAAGGAAAAAGATTCTTCTGTAGATGAGAGTGCTCTTTTACATACAAACTGCAGTACCGATTTCTCTTTCATTTCTCAGCATTTTTAAGCATCTAAGCAATTTTTCCTCTTAACTTATGTTTTCAATAATATGACGTATGAGTATATAGACAATTTTATATTGTATTTTTTAAAGTAATAAAGCAAAGAAAACAGATACACTTCACTATTCTTTAGCAGCTATGACTTTACGCCAATAGAAATCTTTAACCGTCAGTCACATCGAAGAGTAGTTAACTTTATTGACTGTTGAGTATTAATCTTCAAAATTCAGCATGTTTTTAGATGCTTGTATACCATAGGATATGTTTGCCTCAGTAGTACATCGGGATCCAGGGGAGGCTGTGAAGCCCCCTGTTGGCTCTCTGACCATGCCCCCGTCCACCAGGCAAAGGGTGAACATTACCCCCCCAACATACACATACACTCCTTCCTCAGCTTCCCCACAGGACCTGGGATAGGAGAGCTGCAGCCCTCAGCAGGAGCTGTTTTCCCCCCACTTCCTCCTCAGCCGGGGGTCTGTGCTGCGGATGAGAGTGAGGCAGGGTGGTCAGAGCTGCTACAGACTGCACAGGATAAGTGGTGGCACAGGGGTCAGAGGGGTGGCCATGGCCCCTCACCACTCCACCCCCAGTTCACCATTGCCACTCACCCCACACAGTCTGCTCTGCCCACCCTGCCCCTGCCTGAACCACAGCCCCCTTGCTGGAAAGAGGGTTGCACTCCCAGGCCACCACAAGAGAGGTTGCTGCCCCTGTCATGGTCCCTGCCCCGTCACCACTTCAGGGGCAGGGGCATGGCCCCCTTAGGCGAGGGGGAAAGGAGTGGGTTATTTCTCCGCCTCCTTTTGCCATCTGGCAGAGGGGGCAGGGAAGGAGCTTATTCCACCACTTGCCCCATGCAGGGAGCAGGTGGCAGCGGCGGTCGGGGCTGGCAGACGTTCTCCCAGGGACAGAGAGAGGAATAAACCCCCTCTGCCACAAGGAGCCATGCTGGCTAGCGCTTGGCCACACCTCCACCCCTGTCACTGCAGAGTGAGGGGGGAATGCCAGGCGGACCCCGGCTTGGGTCCATGCGGCTTGGACAGGGAAGCGGAGATTAAACCCCCTTCTTGGCCAGTTCACTTGAGGGTACTGCCAGGGCTAGCCACAGCCCCCAGCACAGGGTGTGCTCTAGCACCCCCTGGCGCCTGGCCCAAGCCACTGCAGGTATGTGCCTGCATTTCCTGAGTGTCTATTCTAGGGATAGGCAACGTTTTTTGGCCAGAGTGCTGAAAATCCCCTCAATGCCTACCTTGGAAGGTGCTGGAGTGCCAGCATGTCAGAAAAACAAAATGAGGGCAGGGGGTATGTGGCAGGATGCCCTGCTTGTGCCCCTGCCCCCAAGCCTTGCTACCTTGTGTCCCCCACCCAAAGCCCATGCCCCCCAACCTGGGCTCTGTGGCTGTCAGCAGCTACCCAGAACCTGGGCCAGCTGCAAACATCTGCTGCCTCTCCACCCCGGCCTTGGCCCTAGTTGCCTCCCAGACCCGGCCCCGGGCTCCAGGGAGGTAGCACATACCGGCAGTTCTCCCTCTGTGCTGCCCTCACTGCTTCTGCAAAGCAGCGTTGGAACCAAGTGCAGCAGGACACAGCCACAGCAGGGGGTGAAAAAATCTGCCTGCTCTGATCTCCCCGCTGCCCTGCCACACTTCCTTGCAGGCAGGGGCAGCAGAGAGGCACAGCCCTGCTCTGGGTAGCTGCTGCCAGCCA